CGCAGCGCCCACTCCGGCGGCCCTTTGTGGTGGGCCTGGGCGCGCTGGGCTCCCCGCCACTCCGCTGGGCTGGAACAACCGCCCGGGCTCCGGGGAGTGCGCGGCGAAGGGGCGCCGGTGCCCAGCCCCAGCGATGCCCAACGCCCTGCGCCCCTGCGCCCCTCAGCCCGCCGTGCACCTGTCACCCCCCTGCCCCAGCCTCCGGGCTCCGCCCGCGAGCGCGGCACCTCCACACCAGCTCCTCGCCAGCCTGCCCCCCTCTGCGGGGGCGTCTGGGTGCCGAGGCCCCACCCTGTCCTGGCCGCTGCCATCGCCCCTCCAAATGCCGCACAGGTCCCCGCGGTGACCCTGCAGCAGACAAAGAAGGGCGGCAGTGGGGACGGCTGGCGCGAGGACACTGGGCCAGCTGCGGGCTGCGCGGCCGAGGGAAGAGGCCCCGGGGCCCTGGCGCTGAGTGCCCGCCCCGCCGGGTGCCGGTTCCTTGGAAGAACCTAAAGAAACCAAAGCGCCTGCCCAGCTGGCACCCGGGCCTGTGGACAGGGCAGGCAGGCTGGCCCCGGGGGTCCCGTCCTGGGCTGCGCACTCGGCCTCGCCCCGTGCTGCCGCGGCCTGGAGACTCAGGTCGGAGGCCGAGACCCAGGCAGGACCCGGCTGTGCGGTGCCGGGGCTCCCCCGAGGCCAGACCGCCGCTCCCCGCTGCCTCCAGGCAGGGCCTGAGGTGTGGCCAGAGGGCAGCTGGGCAGCGGGTGCCAGGACGCGAGCATCTCGTGCCCCCGCTCAGCTGCCCCGGGCGTGTGCACAGAGTCGGGGCTCAGGACCAGGGTCCCCCGCTCTCTGCCCTGCAGCTGCATGAGCCGCACCCTGCCCTGTTTCCCGCAAAGGCCTGCGAGGTCAGGGCTGAGGCCACCCGCAGAGACGGGGCCCTGGCCGCTGCCGAGCGCCCGCTCCCCACCTCCGTCTCGGGGTCCAGGGAGCAGCGGCCAGGGCAGCCCCACAGGCACGGCGCGGCGCCACGCTCCCTCCGAGCTGCCCTCGCCTGCCCAGCTCACCCAGCCAGGGAACCGCCCTGACGCCCGCAGCCCCAGCCCGGGTCTGGACCGCCTTGGTGGGGCGCTGGCTTCCACGCCGGGCAGCTCCTTCGTCTCAAGGGGCAGGGCCGGAGCGGGGGAGGGTGGGCCAGGGCGCGACGCTGCCGGCCCAGGGCAGAGCGGGCTCTGCGCCCTGTTCTCCTGTGGCCGACCTGGGGGCCCGCTTCCCAGCTGACCCGAGACGGCCTGACCCTTCCCAGGCGCCTCCTGCCCGCCCTCTGCCTCCCTTGCCTCCCAGCCCAGAACGCCGCCCCCGGCCTCTGGCCGCCCGCTGGCCACCGCCTGGCCTGCCCAGC